TGAGAAGGTCATTTACCCCTTTTGTATCTCAGTTTCCTCATTTGTAAAATCAGAGGAATATTGTTTGCCTCACTGAGCTTTTGTGAAGATAATATATCAAATGCTTAGCAAGCAGCCAACAGCATTACCTACAAACACTGGAAGCACAATTTTTAGAATCATATCTTCCCAAATGGATGCCAAGTCATCTCATTTAATTTTCTAAAGAGGACACTGGTATAGATGCTCTGATTTGGAGCGTCCATGTGTGATTATTGAACTTTAGCCCTTGTTCCGTAATTTCTAACTGACCCTCCCAGCAGTGCCTCCATGAATAAACATTTAAGAAAAACCTGCCTACCTGTTCACTGTGGATGCCTTCAAGTAAAGTTCACTTCCTCCTTGAATCAGTGTCACCCAGAGCCTCACTTCTGACTGTGCTGACACTGCAAGTTCCTAGCAATCCCTTGCCCTATGGCAACACAGCATAGTGCTCAGTAACCCCAGACTGCAAGTCCTCCCTCCTAAATAGGATTTGTACAGTGTGACTTGGAGCAATATAGCAGTCAGTTTTATCTGAAGGAAAACATTATTTGCTAACATTTTAAAATCCCTTCCTCAGTAGCTCAAAACGATTGAAAAGCTAGTCAATGATAAAATTTCAAATCCATCTAGAGACAAACCATTGAGAAAGGAAGTAGAGCTGCTTTAATCAGGAAAGTGGCTTCTGTGATGCATTAACCACTAGAGATTATTGACTCCCCTTTCTTTCTTTCTTTCTTTCTTTCTTTCTTTCTTTCTTTCTCTTTCCTCCCATCCACCCCCCCCCCACTATAGTTTGGTCATCTATCATTGGCACTCATAGCATACACAATGGAATTTTACTTTTCACAAATTAGTTCATTTAGGCCTGTGCCATTTCTCAGACATTCCGGGAACCTTTTGCTAACCTTGTGTTGATTAAAGGATGTGTTTTTGGAAATGGGTGGAAAGGAAGCCATTTATAATTCTTAAAACCAAAGAATGATTTACAACTCTGACTGCTACCAGAACCACAGTGCATCAGCAGTCAAATGAAATATTAAATATTAGGAAGAGCCTCTGTACTATGCATGACAATCTGTGGATAGAGTTCTTCAGCAACAATGAGAATTCCACCTTCTTCAGCAGAATATTTAGAATCCACAAACCAATATATGACACAGAAAATCACATTGGGGGTACACAATTTTTAAAAGGTTTCTGAAATACGCCCCTTCTCCATAAACTTGTGCTTCTACTGTCATTTATAAAGTACACAGCTCATTTCCATGCATAGGAGTTTCCTGTCCTCATCTCCACTTTGGTTTGCTTTTGCCTATTTTTTTTTCCTTCCCTAGTGAAATGCGATGTGCCCGTTGGAGGGCACATTTATTGTTTTAGACATCATGCAATTTACTAAATGGTGTTCTGGTTATGGAAATGCTTGCAAAGAGCCCTGGGGGGGAAAGAATTAAGTAAACACATATTGATCATGCTGTAGCTCCTGCTCTCTTATTTGATCAGTTAAGGGCTCAGCCTGAACTGGTCCATCTGATCTGTGATACATAAAGCTGGAGACATTCTTCTGGCTCCCTGGTGGTTTTCAAGGCTATGCAATGAGAAAAAACTGTTTTAAACAAAATCTTATTTTTAAAGAAGCCTCAGTACAGGATGGAATTCAAAGAATTTTAAGAGGAGGTGAAAGTGGAAGCAAACAGCTTTAAAAAGGTCTCGGGAATTTTAAGAGAATAAAGCATACAAAGGAAGTAAAAGATTAATCCTATGTGACCTGTGTTGAGATAGAGAGACCAGGAAGGCACAAACTGAACACTTCCTGTGTGTAGGGTTTAGAAAAGAGAACAATTGAAACAGAATTTTTTAGGTCAGAAAACAAGTATTAGGCTTTTATACAAGCAAAGAAACTTGAACTTTATGCAAACCCTAAATTCAAAAAGGTAATGGATACATTCCATTTAATCCAAATAGACAAAGCGTCCTCTTGTGTATTTCATTTTAAAATTCTACACTAAAAATATTGATGTTAACCTAAGTAATACTGAAGAGATGATTGAAGAAAATGTTTATTTTAAAGAAAGGAGATGGAATCTTTGGACTTTGCTCCTGTCATATTTGCTCTCTTGTTTCCCCATTCCTTGATTTGTTGTCAGTTTGTGCTTATATTGGACAATTTGACCCCTGCTCCCTTCCCTCCAATAAATCAGAGGTTTAAACAGGGAATCATGAGGGAAAGGAGACTAGAGAAGAATCTTAAAGCATTTACATCCTAGCTGGTGCAGTCTGGCCTAAAGGAAAAACAGGAATCCAGAGATTTTGTTGCCTGACTATGTATTGAAGTTTAGAATGACAGAGCAGATGGAACCAGCATCTAATTTCTGGCATAGAAGCTGGAAAAATGATAGTAACACTAAAAAATATGAGGTAATTGTGATGGATGATTGGTGTGAGAAATTGGGAAATGGGACAAGAGATGCAATAACCTACACCTTGATACACTGAATTTAAGAGGCATCATCTTCAAGCCACTTGAAAATATGGATTGGGGCAAAACTGAAATCTTAGAAGATGTAAAATAGTCTATTGTTGCAAGAAGTGAGGCTAAGGGCCAGGGATTTAGTTCAGTGGTGCCAACTTCTGGTTTGCAGCTGGAAGGACCAGAGTTCGATCCCCGGTACCAAAAAAGAAAAAAAAAGAAAAGAAAGAAAGAAAGAAAGAAAGAAAGAAAGAAAGAAAGAAAGAAAGAAAGAAAGAAAGAAAGAAAAAAAGAAAGCTAAGTATTACTTAAAAATGGCCTCTTGTCTCTATAGTACAGTTTATTCCATTTTTATTGCACAAGATGTATACTAAAAATTTATTAAGCACTTACTATGTATCAAGCACTGTTATCAAGCTATTAATGTAAGGGTTGACACATTCCCTACCCTTAGGGAACATCCAGATTAGTGCTATAGACAGGTATTAAATAAGTAAGCCAAAAAGACATTCGACAGAGACCCAATATGGTGAAAGCTAGGAAGGAAAATAACAGATTGCTTTAGAGTGATACTTAGTTTGAAAGCAGAAGGATGAGTAAGAGCCAATCAAGTAGAACTGGGCTGAGTGGAGAGGGTGGGAGGGCCTCTGTGTAACTGAGCCCAGTTTAAGGAGTATTTGGGGAGATAGGGAAAGAACCAGACAGGACTTTAAGGAAGATTCACTGAGTCTAGATTTAGCCTCAGCTCAGTGGGAAGCCACTGAAGAATTTTAAAGAGCTCAGCTGCTATGATAAAGGACAGATTAAGTTCTATTTGCAGGACATAGATCCACTCACCTGGACACCGTTGGTGTGTCCATTTGTATATGTTGATTATGCTATTTTTAGATATTTTAAAAGAATGAGATCGTAGTATAACTTTTCTTATTCTCCTTCCCTCGAATTATGATATTATCCCTGAGCTTTGTTCCATGGCACAAAAAGTTGAAGAGTTTGACATCATCTGAATAAATACTTTTTTTGCTATTGTGTCCCAAAGATGCTATTTGATAACTACTTACCTCACAACCCCGATAATTTGGTTTTGAGATTAAATCCAGCAAGTTTTCCCATTGGAATCTTGATGAATGTGTTCATTGTGTCTTTGAGTAACATTCTATGATACAATTGAGAAAATCTGGGAGTGTTATATTGAGTACTATCACTGACCAGATGGATTCCAACAGCAATATTAACATTATTGTTATGCCTGCTAATATTTATTATGCAGTTAACAACATCCAGAAATCATTCTGCTTGCATTAGCTCATTGAGTTTTTAAAAGATCTTATGACATAGAAGAGTACTTTTATTGTCTCTTTTATATTAATTAAATTACTACATCTCAGATAAAGTCCTCATTCAAAGGTCATACAGCCAATAAGAGACACAACAGGGACTCAACCAAGACAGTACACAATTTGAGAAGTTTTGAAGCTATGCCTGGGTGAAAAAGAAATAAGCATAAGGAGTAACTATGTTTACTAATTCTGGAATGTATGCTTATAAAGTACCTTCATTCAGTACAAGTTTCTGGGAGTCAATTTATCATTTTTATTTTGACATAAAATTGTGTGATTTAATAAAACAGTGGTCACTAATAAGGGAGATCCTTTCTTATGAAGGGACATTTAGCAATTTCTAGAGATATTTCTGGTATTCAAATCTAGGAGATGACTGCCTCTAGAATCTGGTGGGTAACAGACTGAGGAAACTACTGAGCATCCTGTAGTAAAGAGGACAGCTCATACAAGGACATTTCCTGTCCAGGTTGTCCGTGGTGCCCAGATGAAGACCCTGGATTAGAATAATTTAAAGGGGATTTGAATGTGAAGAAAGAATTGTGGCTCTGTCTTGCAAGCAGGGGACATTCAACATGAAGAAGCACTTTTGGGAATGGAGAAAAGAGCACAGGTTCTATCATTCATTCATTCACAGAATCACATTTTGTAGAATAACTTCTACACATCAGGAATTGTGCTGGGCATTAGAAGTGAGGAAAACAATATTAGGAAGTTTCTTTGGAGAAAAAGTGAGAACAAGAGAGTAGAGACAAAGAAAGATGCTTGACTGTTAATGGTAAGCTAGGGACTTTGGTCCCAGCTTTGTTTGGTGCCAGGCGTGAGCTGTTTTATTTTGTGAATGAGGGAGAAAGACTAGATGCTTTACAGGTAGGAGGAAAGTCAGTGTGATGAGGGACAAATTCAAAAGCCATATCACTCTTCCAGGAGCACCTTCTAACCTGTTTTTGTCCCATTTATGGCTGATTTATGCTGAATGAACTGTAGGACCAGAGGGAGAAAAAGCAAGCAATGTTTTCAGAAGCAATACAGCACAGTGATTCAAGCATGTGTGTGCATGTGTGGATTGGAGAGGATGAGCAGCTTGCATTGCTTTTGAGTTGTGCTGCTGGCCTGTGAACAGGTGTGCTGGCTTTTGTTTTTCCAGTAACAGCTTTTTCTGTTTGCAGCAGTCCTATGCACCAGCTCCCCACCCCATGGCTCCTCCCAGCCCCAGCACAAACAGCAGCAGCAACAACAGCAGCAGCAACAGCAGCGGGGAACAGTTGAGTAAAACCAACCTGTACATTCGAGGCCTTCCACCAGGCACTACTGACCAGGACCTAATCAAGCTGTGCCAACCGTAAGTGTCCCTCTGTTCTCTGTGCCTTTTCTAATCCACATGCCGCCTGATGGGCAGCGCTTGTGACTGTGCCATTGTACCATCCATTGGTGTCTCAGTGAGGAGGACTCTTCTGAAGGAGCGGCACTGAAATTTGAGATTCGATTTTAGCTGATTTCAGGGAGTAGGAAGCTTTTCATTGCTGTGGCAGTGGAAGCTCTTGAGCAGATCTGCGTGGGAGTCCTGACTGATTCAGTCATGTTGACCTGAAAGATGGAGAGCGTTGGCAAAAGTGTGCTGGATCTGGCCAGTTCAGTCAGTGACAAATCTCATGGAAGTTGGTTTCTTGAGAAGTGTTAGTGAAGGGAATCCCCAAAACTCCAAAGTGGTTGATTGCAGGATGATTACTTCCTGTGTCCCAGAGCTGTTTGGGCCAGTGATCAGTAAATTCAGGTTGAACCAGGACTAAGTCATTGGAGAATGAGGTGAATAATCCTCCAGCTTCCTTGAAAACACTACTGTGAAGTTCAGTGAGACTATTCCCCATCAAGGCCAGGCACTGTACTCACCAAGCAATATTATATTTGCTAGGAATTGTGGAAATAATTAAATCCTCTTCCAAAATATTTTCATTAATTTATTATCTACCGCCACTTAAGATATTAGCTATCTCATTTCTGTGCAAGTACATTAACCATTCTTAAGTTTACCTTTCAAAAGAAATTAAAAATGAATAATGGATTATGAATCACAGACCTGCATTTTTAGACTGCTGCCTAATCATTTTCAAAATACTGCCAGTACAGGTATTTGTCATTTCATTCTATCCTTTGCTAGATACTTTTAAATTTTGGGGAAAAAATCACTCAATTGTTCTTTTTTCTCTTTTGCAATGCTTTTACAAGAAGATTGAGAGGATATTTATTTTGTAAATTTCCCAGCCCCTAAAATATTGGAAGAGGAAAACACAAAAGAGAATATTTGTCCTTGTTCTGGATTTTAAGTTTGGGTGCTCATATTAAAACAGCAGAAAGTGTCAGCTGAACCAAAACAATAACTCTAACTATAAATAACTATAATTTATTCAGTTGACAATATAGTGGATAGGGTTAGGTGATGACACCTTGTTACTATTGACTGCCTTAATTATTATTACTTTTAGTGGCACACTTTGGAGATACATAGTGTTTACATTCATCATAGGAAATTTTTACCTGTACATAATTTATCTTGATTCTTCTTTTTTCCCCATTCCCCTTAAAAAAGCTTTGTTCCCATTTTTTCCCTTCTATTCATTTTTTCCCCTTCCTTCCCTTCCCTACCAGCCTCCTTTTTTCCCCTTCCTTTAGGAACATTTTCTTCCTACTTTCTAACCTTGATTTGTGAAAGAGGTAAAGCAGAAATTTGAAACAGAAATGTTTATTTAAAATAAGTTTCTTTTAAAGAAATGTTAAAAATGCCAATGTTAAGACATATGAATGGATGTTAATTTTTTTTCTTAAGTTCTTTTATTGGTACATTTTAGGTATACAATACGTTTACAATTATCATTGGGTGCTTGTACCTGTACGTGATGTATCTTGGTTCTTATTTTTTCCCCATTACCTGTGTGCCCTTCACCCCCTCCACCTTTCCCTATTTACATAGATTTCATTTCCATTTTTTTTTCTTTTCTCATACTTTTTCCTTTCCCTCCTTTCCTTTTCCCTTCCCCTCCCTTCACTCCTTCATCTTTGGACCTTTTCTTCCTATTTCAATTTATCAAGTATTCATTTTAATCATTTTAACCCTTGTTTACACTATCAGTTTCTCACACTAGAGAAACTATTCGGTATTTACACATGTGTGTCCTATTTATTTCACTTAAGAGTATGGCCTCGATATGCATCCATTCAGCTATAAATGACTCTAATTTTTTGTTCTTTATGACTGAGTAGTACTCCATTTTATTAAAATTTCACATCTTCTAGCGGCATAGTTTGTAATAGCTAAAGCTTGGAAGCAGCCCAAGTGCCCATCAACTGGAAACTGGGTAAAGTGGATATTAAGTTTTGATCTACAAATATTGGAGTTGAGAACTACAAGATAAATGAATCAACTTGTACTTATTTTAAGAAAAATCTAAAATAGTTTGAGAAGTAAAGTCTTTGTAACTATGAAAGATTTCAGGCTTTCTGATAGAAACTTTTGATGAAGGCTCTCCCTTAATAGATGCTAATATATTAAAAAAGCTATTCTTGATTCATACTTGAATTTCAGCCATAAAAATTATTTGTGCTTATTGAGGAAACATTTTTTCCATTTGTTCTATAACACAGACCTTGCTGAAATGTAGATTTCTGGGCTCAAAGATTATGATTCATGCTGGGTGTGGTGGCACAAGCCTGTAAATTCAATCCTCTAGGAGCCTAATTGGGGAGGCTGGCTAGTTTGAGCCCAACCTGGGCCATTTGATTTAACAAGACTCTGTTCCAAAAAAGGCGGTGGGAGTGGGGGCTGAGGATGTCATTTAGTAAAAGGACCTGGGTTTAATTCCCAATACTATGAAAGAAAGAAAGAAAGAAAGAAAGAAAGAAAGAAAGAAAGAAAGAAAATGAAAAGAGGAATTAATACACAATAGGTCCAGGGTAGTTCCTCTGCTTGATTTTCCATATTGTAATGAAAATTTTTAATTTTGCAATGAAAAAGTCAAGTTCTTCTCAAAATTACCAATAACACTTATGTTTAAATCTTTTAGTTAATTGAAAGCAAATTGCTAGATCCTGTGAAACTGCTAGACCTTATAAAAGTCAGAGTAAAGAAGTTAAAACAGAAAATGAAATTATGCTTTCGTATCAGTATGGGCATCATTAATGACTAGGTTCTCAAATTTCATTACATAATGGAGTCTCTTTAATATTAATTAGATTATTATATTTCAGAGAGATGATGCCCTCATTTGAAGGTCAGACAGCCAATAAGAGACACAACAGAGTAGGTCTAGGGTGGAGCCAAAGAGCGTGCCTTTCCAACAGGGTCGCTGGTGGTGTTGACATCACTGACCTTCTGAGAAGCCTTTGTCTCTACAGTCCTATGAGGACCACTAAGTTTTTCTAATGCATAAAGTTTCATCTCATTGACAAGAACCATTAAGGTGGAATTTTTGGTATTAAAATCAGCTCAGCAGATCTGTGATCTTGAAGTAAGTCACCTTCTTTTAAGGTCTGTATTTCGCCTTGTTATGAGTCAGGTGAGTTTTGTTTCGTCTGTGATTCCTTGGAATAATAGCGGTGTGTTGAGGTTGTTTGTAACTTGTACCCTAGGACCAACTGATAAATATTCAGATATTTTGTTGCAAACCTGGAGCTTGAAATTGGACAGGGTGGGAGTATTTATAACACAGTAATTAGAAAATCCTACAAGTCAAATTTTTAGATGAAATTTATTTTATTAGAGAGCTGTTTTTTACTGAACATACCACTGGGGTAGCCAGAATTTTATTAATGGAAAGTGTTACCAAGAAGTCTGTGTTGGCAGGAAAGCGATGTAGAAACATTACTACTTAGGGTACAAGCTTAGTCAATGTTTCATATGTACATTTGAGAAATTTAAAGAATGCTAAGTGAACAGAGGATAATAGTTACTGGTTCCTATCATTATTTGCTAGCTAGTAAGATCTGGCTCATGTGACTTGTGATCGTAAAAGTGTGGGTCTCCCAGTTACTAAAGTGATCTGGACATGGAATTTATTGTTTAAATTATTTTTTCTTGGAGAATCATACAGAACTGATGTGATCAGGCAATGGAAATGTGTGCACTAAGATATCTAGCTTTTAAACCTGGCTGAGCCATCAATTGGGTTTGTGGCCGTAGATAAATGACTTGTTCTTTTTAACTTTTGTTCCTTCCTGTATCTACAATAATCCATTTGTACTTGAAACCTGTTACGTTTATTTCATCTAAAATTCTGATGAGTGTTTGAGGGCCTCATTATTTAGCATAAAACTTTCTCTGGAGAATCTTTCATGACTTTCTCTAATCATAATGCAGTGTTGACAGGGCCACAGCTTGAATGGACTCAGCTGCATGCTTTTGACATGATGACGGGATAAGCTGTGGGTAAGAGACCAAAGCAGGTGATGTGGAAAATCTTGTCCCTTCTTTTGTAGTGTTGGTCTCTTAGAGTGGTCGTTATTTTACATTATTAACCTAAAGATGAAAAAAATTTTGCATTCCCATTACTCTTTCAGTATTTCCAAATAATTTCACCTAAAAGAACAGATAATAGTGGTAGCTTTAGATGATCTTGTCACAGGATCCATTTTCCATATTAATTGCTACAAGATTATAACCTTTTTTAGAGATAATACTGCTTATATTAGAGGAAATGAAATATTTAATAACGTTCATACTAATAAAATAATTTTTAAAAATATGTACAAGAAGACATAGTTGTATTGAATTTTCTAGTATTAGTATACAACATCCATATTAATGCTAATGAACAGGAAGAAAATGATATTAAAGATAATAGAAATTGCATTATTTCTCAATGTATAATATGAGAGCGAGTTCTTGTTATGGAATTCCATTCATATTCATCATCAAAGCTTCTATATTCGGATTGTAAGTAACATCAAGAAAAGGCAAAATTGAAGACTAGATTTTACTCTATGAAAAAATCTCTCATTTATGCTGCTTTAAATGAATATGCTACATTGTGTATACTGGAGAAAATAATATACTAAGCCCTTATATTTTTCCTGAGAGAACTCAAGGAACTTTATTATGTTCTCAATGAAGACATATTTATAGAGTACCTAAAGCATGCTTATTTTGAGGATTGGAAAGTCAGTAAATTCAAAGGCCTTGCTTTAGTGGAGTTTATATTTGACTAGGAGAAGTAAATATGAATTAAAGAATCACAAGATTTGATATAAAATTGTGACTATATGTGCAAAAACTAAGAGGAGCAAGATATTAAGACAGTTGAAAACATGAGATTACCCAGTATCATTTGTTAGTGATAACCGAGTAAAGAT